CATCATCCACCCCCCCACACCCCCCAGTCTGCTTTGCGGGACAGTCCAGGGGGAGGGTGTAAGGGAGGGGTCAACCAAAGGCACAGGCCCGCCCACCCCAGAGGACAGTGACAAGCACCTGGAGGTTTGAATCAGTTCTGCTTGTTCTTTGCTTGGATTCCTTGTGAACATTGACACTCTCTGGAAGAATGTCTATTTTAGTTTCCTGCTAAATTTTAACAGTTTAAGTGTTACTACTGAGTTAATCCAGGTTATATTAGAGGCATTTAAAATGAAAGCAAAACCTGAAAAAAGTAAAAGAAATTATGAGTTAATACTGTTTTTCTATAATGTCTTAAATATATACAAAAGACTAAATAGAAAGGGCAGTCTGCAGCCCTCAAAGTAGGAACTGCTTTAAATACACTCCCTGCACACACGCCTCAATCCTTCAGAGCTCGTCCCCCGAGGGCTGACCCGATCATTCTTGAATCCACTTCATCTCAGCATGTCCATTGAGCCATCGGTGGAGAACAGATGCAGATATGAAAACAGAGATATCTATCATCCATCTACAACCCAAATACTTTAATTTTCCTAGATTCACAAGCAAGATTATGTGAACGGAAACGTCAGTTCCCAAATATCTGAATAAAAAGCAAAACTCCTGAGGTTCTCCCACAGGACAATGTGTGCTGTGTATTTCTAAGCCCTGAGAGCACGTTCATTACATCCAGCACAAATGCGACAGCTGAATGGTCCCCTGTGTCCTCCTGGTCACTCTGGTGTGACTGTGTGCCGTCGCGAGCATTTGATAACTCCTGTTTCAGTGCGATGACTGCAACGCTGCCGGTGGTGAGCCGATGGGCCCCGTGCGGACGGCAAACAGATGGCCGGCTCGAGCAGAGTGATGGCAGCGGGCTTATCAGAGGGGCGACCGCAGACTCTGGAGCAGCACTGAGGACAGGCCCGGATGGCAGAGGAGCCGGCGAGCCATCCCAGGAGACTACGGTCTGACCACAGCCTCGTGCGGCTGGCCAGGCTGCACCGGGAGGGAGATGGGCACAAACCCCAGACTCTCTCCAGGCTCCATCCCCCGCTGCTTCCTCCCATGGGCAGAAGCATCTGCAAGCAGAAGGCAGGACCCCCACAGCGGCCAAGTTCAGGGCAGGGAGGACTGTGGGGGGCAGATGCCCACACGGATCGTGGCCTGGCCACTTGGTCCCACAGCACACTTCTTGTCCTTGGTGGAGACAAAGTCTGTGGCCCCAACATGGGATAAAAATGTGACCAACTGCCAAGTTATCGTGAGGTGAGGTTAATCTAGTCACTCACCAGAAACCCAGAAGAGTCATCCCGGCCATATGAGATAATAGGGCAAAGGATGGGAGAGAGATAATTAATGCCGAAGTGTGGGTGCCCAGTCCTTGTCTCTAGCGGTAGTTGGGAGGCCCAAGGCGGTAATCCCAGCTTCAACCAACCGTCGCGGGCTCTTTATACCCTCCACCAGCACTGCCCAGCTGCTGCTGGGCACGGCAGGAGACCCCCACCTTCTTTCCCGCAGTCTAGGTCTCCGCTAGTCCTGACTGTGTGGAGCTGATGCGCTTCCTGCTGACCAGTGCTTACGTGTGAAGAGTGGTGCCCAGCGAGATCGCGAGAACCCATCCTCCGTGCCGCACTGTGCGCCAGCACTATCGGAACAATTATAAAATGGGTGGTGTCAGGTGATTTCACCCAGCTGTGGGCTAATGTGAGCGTTCTCAGCATGCGCAAGGCAGGCCGTGATAAGCTACGATGTTTGGTAGGTTAAGTGCTTTCAATGCATTTTGGACTCAATATGTTCGAGTAACAAGGGGTTTATCAGGACGTAACCCAGCGTAAGTCAAGGAGCATCTGTACTTAACGGCAGGAGAGGACATTATCTCCACGCAAAACCCAAGGGGTCCCCGGAGACTTCTTGCTCCCAGCTCCTGACGCATGGGCGCGGTAGCCAGCAGCACTCCCCGCCTAACATCGCTTCTTGTGGTTTTGAGCAGAAAGCACCTAA